GCCAATGGAGGCTCACCGCACGCATGCACCCAGCCTTTAAACACTTCCCCGGCTCCAGCCCACACCCGGGCCCTGGGCAAGGATTATTTCGCTGGGCTGTCGCCCAATGGGCCCTGGCATTCTGCCTGCAGATCAGCCCTGCGTTAGGAAGAGCCAGAATCCACGACCCGCAGCCACGGACACCAGGGCTGCAGAACTAGTTCTGTTAGCTCTCTTCCCTGGATGCTGGTCGATCCGCCTGTAACCCAGCGTGGGGCTCGTCCCCTCTGCAGACTAGTTAGTGCCACCAGCTCGCAGGACCAGGCCACAGAGCAGTGGTGGGCAACCTGTGGCCAGCACTTCCCGCAGCTCCCATTGGCCGGGAAGGGCAAACCGCAGCCCCTGGGAGCTGCGGGCGGCCGTGTGAATGTCTGGTGGCCCGCCAGCAGATTACCTTGACGGGCCACAGGTTGCCCCACCGCCCCCACTGCCATAGAAGCTTGTACTCTTAGCTCCAGCGCTCCTACAGTCGGTCCCCATACGTGCCACTCTAGGACTTTGTCGGGGACTCCAGTGAATGTGCCGCTCCCCTCCCACGAGCGTGAGGAATTATGGGGCCTGGCTAATTGCTGGGACAAGCCTCCTAACGCCGCACAGCATTCCAGCGGCTGTTCCAGAGGGGTCTTTTCACTGCCCACTCACCCAATGGGGCGATGTGCAGCAGCTGCGGGCCAGGACTCGGGACCCGGCCCAGCTGCGCGGGATGGGGTGTGGGGGAGGCAGTGCATCCAATGGAGGCTGGCTGGAGGCAGGATGCACGTGAGACTGGCAGCTCTCTGGGGCAGGGACTGTCTTTTGTTCTGTCTGTACAGCACCTGGTGCCACGGGGCCCTGGGCCACGAGAGGGCTCCTCGATGCTACCACAATCCAAGCCATAAACAACAGCGGGCAAGGCTGGAATGGACCTGATCTCTCACTGTTCTGCCCCAGCTGAAGGGGTCCCACTCCACCCCGCGGTGCTCCTGGCACATCCCTGTGGGGCAGCGCTCACCGAGCACAGGCTCACGCTACAGAGGGAGGCCCAGAGAGGCTCTGCCGGGCAGCAGGAGGGCAGGCGGGGGCAGAGAAGACGTCCTGTCCCAGCTGCCAGCCGCCGTGAGAAAAGGCTTCCCTCAGCGCCAGCCATGAGGATCGCCCCTCGTCAAGCCGTGCGGAGGGAGCCCGGCCCGGTGCTGAAAGAACTGCCGGAGATGGAGATGGGCTGCAGAGCTACCCGCCGCAGGCAAAGGGGATTAAACCCGAAACGCCCTCAGCAGACGCTTGGCTGGCACGGAGCCTCCCGTCCCCTCGCAGTGAGCACGAGGCAGGGCCCTGGGCCTGCACCAGCCGGCATTTGCCTGAGCGTTCTCCCAGGCAAGAGCGACCCGACTCTGACCCCGCTTAGCTTGTGGGCTCTCAGGAGCAGAGCCTGCGTCCCTCCAGACTCCTGCCAGCTCCCTTGGCAGGACACCACCTACCTGGGCTGCCGGGGCTGGGGATCGGTGCCTTTTTGGAAGTGGGTGTGGGCGGCCCGGGGACCTTCTGTGCTTGTGGGGTTAACACGGGCTTGGGAGAGACCGGCGGCTTGAAGGGCTTTTTGGGTTCCCCGCCCACAGCCTGCGGCACATGCTCCAGCCTGTCCTGCCTGTCGCCTGCGGCAGGGCCCTGCGGGGGCGTCTCTGCACCGCTCATCTCAGACGCCGGCCTCCGCTTGATGGTGCTGGTGCCGTTCTGGTAGACGGAGAGGGGGGCTGGCTCCAGCCCCTGCTCCTTGTCTTTGGACTTGGGCCGTCGCTTGACTGTGTCCGACTCGGTCAGGATGAACTTGACGCTGTCCTGCTGGCTCTGTTTGGCCCGGATCCTCCTCTTGAGTGTGGCGCTGGCCTCCACCTTGGCCAGGTCCCCGTGCCGGTGAGCAGGCGACAGCCCGTCCCCTGCCTCGCCCTTGGCCAGCCCCATCTGCCGGGGCCGCTGCTTGATGGTCAGGTTCCCATCCTCGGCGAAGGGGATGTTCTCGGCCGAGCTGTTCTGGGGGGAGCCCCCGTGCTCCGCCCGCAGCCGCTCCACCGGGCCGCCGTCCTTGCCCGTGTCCGACCTGATGCTGTCAGAGCGCTCCCTGCGGGCGGCCGCGATGAGGCCGGTCACGGGGCCGCTGATGGTCCTGCGCCGGTTCACCACCTCCCCGTCCAGGCCGATGGCGTCTTTGTGCTTCACAGTGGCCAGGACGGCGGCCACGCGGGAATGCTCCGGGCTGGCCAGGTGCATGGCGCCAGCAGGGTGCAGATAGTAGCCTTCGGGTCCCTTCCCTCCTCCTCCTGGGTGAGGCTTCTGCAGGGCCAGCGCCCGGGCGCCCCCGCCAATAGAGGACATCTCCAGCATGGCGGCGATGCTCTTCACGCTGCCCGCGCTGCCTGTGTCCACGCTGCCCCCCACGTCGCTCGCACGCCGCTGCTCCCGGTAACTCTCCTGCCCCTCCTCATCCTCCCCGCCGGGCGCGTCCCCTTCCCCCTCCTTGCTGAAGTCGTCGGCCATGTTGGTGCTGGAGATGGCAGAGCTGGAGCGCTTGGGGGGCGGCGGGGGCGGCCCCTTCTTCTTGGGCCTGACGGCGAAAGACTGGCTGCGGTTGACATTCTTGTCTCCGCCCGACTGTGCCCGCACCGAATGGCTCCTGCCCACCCGCCGCTGCACTGTGGCGTAGGGCCCGGCGTCCGGCACCAGCAGCTCATCCCGTTCCTGCTCGCTGTCGGACATGGCGTAGCGGTTCAGGCTGTGCGCACGCTTCTTCGGCCTGCCCAGCTCCTCCTCTGCCTCCCCGCTCTGCGGCGGCAGGCACAGCACGGGCACCGAGACCGGCAGGACTGGGACTCCTTGTGCCACGGGGCCCGGTGGGTGCCCGGCGAGGCTTTCGCCCTCCACGGGCTGCGGCATGACGTAGGCAAAGCCTCTGTGGGTGGGGGACTGAGGCAGGGACCGGGGCGACATGGGGCGGTCAGCCTGCTGGAGGAGCTGCGGCGTGGGCTTGACCTTGGCCGTGGCGTGGGGCACGATGAGCGTCTGGGGCGAGGACGGCCGCGGCTTGGTGGGCGTCTGCGGTGGGGTGAAGCGCCCTCCGGCCGGGGGGAATGACTGCCTGGGCTTGCCTGGCACCGGGGGCACGCTAGCTCTCTTGACGGTGTGCCCGTGCCGCATGGGCCTGACCTCCTTGGGCATGCTGGGGAGCCCCTCCTTCACCTCCTCCATCAGGTACTCCTGGCTCTTGGACATGGCTGCGCTCGGCCCCTTGGGCCCGTCCCCCAGCAGCTCCTGGGAGCTGCTTATGTGCTTGGCCCGGCCGCTCAGGCTGTTCTCATGCACGTGCCTGGAGGAGGGGCCCCGGTAGCCTGCTCCGTCCCGGATATGTGCCACGTGGTTCGCCTGCTTCTCCTGGCCCTCGGGTGCCTCGCCCGTGCCCGTGAGGGCCACCTGCAGTTCGTTGCTCAGCTCGCTGTCCTGGAAGGTGGTCATCTTGGGAGACTGGCACTCGGCGTTCTCCTGCTGGGGGGACTCGATGGCCAGCACGTCCAGAGACTGGGGCGCTTTCTTCTTCAGGGTCCCCGACTCGTACTTGACGTACTCGGCCTTCTGGATTTCTGCCAGCTTCTTCACCGCCAGCATCAGCTTCTTCTGGTGGCCTGGAAGGTGGGGAGGGGACACATGGCACAAGGGGGCATTAACCAATGGGGAGCGACTCGTCCCACCAGCAAACCCACAGGGCCCGGTGCTGGCCCATGGATAGTGACGCTCATTCCCCCAGAACGGCTGTCTCGGCCCAACCCAGCCATGCCCACACCCTGAGCGAGCGCTCGTCTCCCACAGAGCATCGGCGGGGGGGCCTTGGCAGCTTAACCGGGGCTGTGTATTTTAGGGTGTTCTAACTAAAAGGAGGCTGCCAGGTTAGAGACACATTGGGGGGCCCTGCATGGTGTCAGCCGAGTTCTCTGGAGTTCCACTGGTGACATGAAAGCAGATTTGACCCAGGTGGCCCCCGATGGACTCCTTAGATCATTAAACCAGAAATGATTTCATAGGAACCTAGGGACTGCCACAGTAGATCAGACCCACGGTCCATCTCCCCCAGTATCCTGTGTCTGGCTGCTTCAGAGCGAGGTGCAGGGACCCCCGCAGGAGTGGATGTGGGAGAACCTGCCCCCCATACTAGGTCTCATCCTGGTCTCGAACAGGCGGCGTTTGGCTAAAGCCCTGAAGCAGGAGGTTTAATGTCCCTGCCAACAGCTGAGTTAGCATTGGCTACCCCAGCTCTGGCTCTTCCTGTTCTGCACAGACATGCCCGTCCCTTCGGGGTCTCGCCCTTCCCCTTTCCAGCCCTCAGGCACAGCCCCGCTCTGCTGCAGGGAGGGGCTCTCAAAGGGGCCTCAGGGAGTTAGGCACATCACGCCTACTGATTTAGGCCTGCGCGCCCAACTCCTTTAAACTCCTTTGACAATCCTTCCCTCCCAGCAGCCAGTTTCCGTCAGCACAGCGCAGGGGTTCTCCTGGAAGCCCCCCTAGGTCCTGCAACAGCTGGTTCCCACTGACCCCGACCCCGGGGCTGGATTTGAGCCAACACTTCCAGCCCTTTAACCGTTTTGTTTGTTTCCCGGCTGCGTGGGGATTATTCCTGCTGGGAATCACTACGCAGCACCCAGCGGCTAGGCAGGGGGAGATCTGGGGTGAAGCAACAACCCCCCTAACTGAAGCAGCTGGTGAGCAGGAAGGCAGCCAGCCACGGGGGCCCGTGACAGGAGAATCTCTCCCAGCAGAGGGGAGGCTGATGGGTTTTCTAGCTCCCATCTGAGCTCACAGAGCCGCCATTAGCTGGCTTCTCAATCTCCGGGAGCTCTACACGCCCGCTATCTCCAGGCATTGCTCCTTTACGTGCTCCAAGCGCCGTTATGAACCTTGATCTCTCCTCCCCCGCAAACCCACCTCGGCTGCCTTGCTCAGTTTGATTGTTCTTGGCCTCGGCCGTCCCATCGCCACGTGGGTGCAAAGCGTAGCGATCCGCCCAGAGCCGGCCAGGACCAGAGACCGCGCTCACTACAGACGGCATCGCTACCTTACTTCCTAAACCTGAGGTTACTTGCATGAATATGTCAAAAACCCAGAGACTGACTCAGGGACTTAACCCGCCACCAATTTCCACTAACAACCAACTGCACGTGCTCTCTGCACTGGTGGCTTTAATGTCACCTTTAATGTTAGAGAATCCACCACTTCCCTTGGGAGTTTGCTCCACTGCTTAATCTCCCTCACTCTGCCTTATTTCTAATGGGAATTTGCCTGGCTTCCAGCCACTGGTTCTTGCTCTGCCTTTCTCTGCTAAATTGAAGGCCCTTTAGCAGCCGGTATATTGTCACTGAGCTGACGCTATAACCAAATCACCTCTTGACCGTCCTGCTGTAAGCTAGAGATTGAGCTCTTTGAGTCTCTCGCTGTCCGCCATTCTCTCCGCCCCACCAATCTGTTTTGTGGCTTTTTTCGGCCCCCTCGCCAATTGGTCAACATCCTTTTTAAATTGGGGACGCCCGACCTGGGCTCAGCATGCCAAGATCGGTCCCACCAATGCTGCACACGGGGGTAAAATCACCTCCCTGCTCCCGTGTTTCTCTAGTCAAGCGTCACACCCGCCCATCTGGCCACGGCATCGCACTGGGAGCTTGCAGGGTGTGGCTTGTGCGTTATCTAGGAGCCAGCAGTGTACGATCTGGGGCTTGTCTACATAGGGAAATTGACCCGCATTGCGATAGCGGTGTAAATACACGGCTACACAGCTCTGGGCCAAGTTCCCCCGGGTGCAACTGGGCTGAATTCAATGGGATTGTGCCCAAGCTGCACTGGGATGTCGGCCAAGTCGACAGGGTGCGTGTGGTAACCAAGATACAAGGGCCTCTGTCTGTTTTCCTCCCTCTACAGCAAGGGCCCCATTCTCCAGGTCCCCTGGAGGCACAGCACACATCCACCATCCCAGGTCTTCACTGGGCATTCGTGTTCCGACCGGGCACCTCTCGCTGACGCGGGCACCTGGGGCAGGGAAGGAATCAGTCACCGCATGCAGAAATGTCAGGCTGCAAAAGTAACCACAACGGGAGCGGTGAGTCCTGCATGTCGCGGCAGCTACAGGCGGCTCCTGATTCATGGCACCGGGAGCAGTGAAGTCCAGGCACCGGCTCATGGCACACAAGACCCCCAGGAGGTCGGGAGGATGCCAGAGCTAGGGAACGTCCTTACATGGCCAAGCGGGAAGGTGCTGTGAGCCCTGCAGCTGCTCTAATAGACAGCCTGGCCCTGCTTTGGACGCTGCAGGCTTTGGGTGTGAAGCAAGGTACGGCACACCAGGGGTTAACAGAGCACAGCACAGGGTGGGAGAGGCGAGGCCTAGGTGCACCCCAGGGTGCCACAGCATCCTCTGAGCCTAGCTTCTGGTATGAGAATCCCCTCCCCACCTCGGGGAGCCCTTCCATTCAAGTGCCAATGCCCAGCCCCGCATTACCCAGCTTCGTGATCCCGATCTCCTGCAGATCCTCCCACGTGATGTCCGTGATGAAGTCGATGTTCTCGTAGCCGTTCTCCACCAGGACTTTGTAGTACTGGGCCAGGCCGATCATGGAGAGCCAGAGAGCCAGGTTGGCCTACAGGGGGCAGGAGGCAAAGGGAGAACGGTGCTTTGGCCCGGACCCGACACCATTTAAAGGGACAGCGTGGGGGCAATACCTATGCCATGACCTGGCATTAACGCCCCCCACTTCCCCTGAGGTTACTGCAGCCGAGAGCTTTATAATCTAGCCAATGACGTTCCTGCCCCTGGGGCCCGAGTCTCCTGTGCATCTGTGTGCACCAGCACCACATGCCAGCGTTCAGGTCTGTGCACCCGCCTTGCCCGGCTGCAAACCGCGCCCAAGGTGCCAGGCAGTAGCGAATCGGGCCCCTGGCCTCTCAGGATACCCTGAGCCAAAGCGCACGACAGCAGCGAACTGGGCCCGACTAGCTCAGCCTCACTGCAGGACCCTGCCAGGGCTCCGTTCTCCAGCACATTGTTCAGTCTAGTTCAGGGCTCCCACCCCTTCCCATGGGACAGGACTGCACCACGAGGGGGTTTCCTCAGACTCCGCCTAAACTCTCCCTCTCCTCCTAGTTCCAGCCTCGTGCTCCATCCCCCTCACTTGGAGATGGCTTAGCCCCTGGACTCCCCCTCCCTTAGCATCCCGATCAACCCAGCGCCCTGGAGCCATTTCCCCTGCATTTCTCAGGGTCCCCTCCAGGACAGGGCACCCAGACCTGTGCTCAGGGGAGATCCAGGCAAAGCTCCTCTCTTGGGTGGACAGCATTCACTGCTTTCTGGGAGAGGACTGGAACCTCTGAATGCGCCAGGAGAGGGCCCTTCCACGCTGCACCAGGACGCTGTCCCAAACAAAACAGGCTGCAACACGGGGACCAAACCCACATGGCAAGGAGATGGGGTCCAGGCCTCACCTATCTCCAGCAGTTAAAGAGCCACAGGCCATCCCAGGGTGGGAGAGGCGAGGTAGGTACACCCCGGGGTGGTTAGCCCGGCGACCCCATGCCCCATAGGGAAACCTGCCAACAGGGCAAAGCTGACAGGCAGGGAGCGAGCCGGGGGAGCCGTACCGGCTTGTACTCCGGAAGCCACTCGGGGATGTTCAGGCTGTTGATCTCCGAGGTGATCTTCTTCCTGTGTCCGGGTTTCGTCACGCCGATGGCGGTGAGGTCCTAGGGCACAGACAGACACCGTCACCTTCACCGCACAAGCAGGGCCTAGCCGCGCAGCGCTGGCAGCCCCCGCAGAAGAGCGCAGGCCGTCAGCCGATGCAGGCCACCTCTCCGTTACAAGGGGCATGGGAGTAGGCTTGGAAGAGTGAGGTTTTTATTGGTAAATGGCGATTTCGCTGTACACCCAAACCCACAACAATACTTCCAGTGACCCCCACGGAGAGCAGCAGACAGGAGAAGTGAGAACAATGCAGGTTGAGAACTCGTTAGAGCGCGAGGCTAATGACTTTGTGCACGTGGACATGCGACGTGTTGGCATTTTAACAGTTACAAAGTTTTAACTTTTTGGGTCTCAACAGCTATCATCATTCAATAATTATGGTCTGAGCCCCTCCCCCATTGCCTGACCTCCACACACACACCCCCGATAATTCCCCCCAACTTAAAATCGATACAAATGAAAAAATGCTTCACAATAAACATTGATCTTCTCCGTGGAGATGAGAAACCAATCCAAACGGCATTCTCCTAGAGGGAAGGAAGGCTCTGGCTTGGCAAAGCTAAGGGCACGCTCTGCAGGGCAGAGATTGTGTGTGTGTGCGCGTGTGCGTGCGTGCGTGCGTACGTGTGCACATACACACCACATCCAGAGCAGAGGGGCCCCACCCACAAGAGGCCGTTGGATGCTACCGCACTGCTAGGAGTGAACGAATTGGGTCCCGTGGCATTCCCCCAACATCACACACAGACGGACTCTGGCTGGAAGGGCAGAGCTCAGCTCAGCCGTCCTTTGGAGCCAGGACACCCAGCGTCAGCCTCTCTAAAGCTGCTCTAGGTCCGGAGACCAGGGGAGGAGGGCTAGCTCCCTCGCCCCCGTGTTCTCAGGGCAGGCTGAGGGGTCCCCGCCCAGTCACCCCGCCGGGATCATGCCCCAGGTTCTGGTGAGAACGGGAAACGCCCCCAGAGCTGCGGCTGGAGCAGCCCTGCGATGTGCCATCCCACATCACCAGGCCGCTAGGGGAGTGCGGCGGGGCTGGGAGCCTCAGGACGGAGCTTGGGCCCAGCCGCTCAGAGCTGTCCTCGGGGCCAGTCCCAGCCCACCCGCCAGCAGCTCACGGGGGCCCCAGCCCAGCGCCCATCAGCTTGGGACAAGCCCTTCTGGGTGCTGCTCCGAGCTCAATGGGACGCTGCTGGCCTGCGATCAACCACAGTGTGAGCTGTGAGGACTCAGCGCCTCGGAGAGGCCCGGAGCGTCCCCTGTGAGAGCGCCCAGCGCCCATGGACTCTGTGCCCACCCAGCCCCAGGGCTCGCCAGGTGCTGGTAATGCTGCTGCAGCACGGCGACACCAGGGGGTGGGGCCAGGGCACCAGCCCCCCATGCAGAGCCGCCCTTGGCCCCTCCTGGCACTCCTCACACACCAGCCCCCCACCCGGCCACAGGCATGTGCCGAGGGGGGTGGGGGAGAGACATGGGCCTGTCCCAGCAGCTCTGGGGGGCTAAGCGCCGAAGTGGGGATCTTAACTCGTCTGCAAAGATGGGAGCTCAGCCTGGATTTGCCCATGAGTGCCGCACCCGCCCAGGCCTGGCACAGCTCCCAGCCCCCCTTGCCCCCGTACCACTCAGCTGGGTCTGGAACGATCCCCTTTCCCTTTTACCGTCTAGAAGGCCGGGAGCCAGCAAAGCTGGGCGTGCCGCCCACGAGCGCCGCTACTCGCCGTTCGATCCAGGCCCGACGTCCCGCCCCACGTCACAGAGCCTCCCAGCCCGTCCTGCAGCCCCTCCTCCACCCTTCACCTAAGGGGTCTATGCTCTCTCTCTGGGCCCGACCCCGTGCCACTGCAAGGAGAGCTCAGTGGGAGCAGGATCGGGCCCCTCACCCTTCAGCTCCCCCCCGGCCTCACCTCTGGCGTCATCCGGCTGATGGTGGGGATGTCGTACCCGGCGTTGATGAAGTTGGCCGCGTACAGCTGCAGCTGGAACTTGCAGAGCCACTGGTACACGGCCTCGGAGCTCTGGGGGCGAGGCAGAACGGGGGTCACTGGCACTGCCCAGCCAGACGGCAGCATGTGCAGGCAATGCCAACCTAGCCAATCCTCGTACACCACCCACCACCCCATGGGCTGCCCCCCTAGACCCAGCAGTTGGGGGAGAGGGAGCTGCCGTCAGGCAAAGCCCAGAGGCTCCTGGCTGTAACCCCCATGGGCAGGAGAGGCAAGAGCCCAGCCACCTGCAGGATTTAGCAGGGAAAGAACCTCCAGGCTGAGTCTGTGACAGGTGCCTGACCCCAGCTTCTCCCCTGGGCTGCAGCCCTTTGAATGGAAGAGGGGCAGGAGCCTGGGGAACTCCCTGGGACATGAAGGAGCCTGTAGGAGATTTGCTAGATGGTCCCCTTCTGCCCTGGGGCCTCACAGCAAGAGGCAGGCGAGTCATTCACCCCGTCACCAGCCCCGAGAATCACTCCAGCAGGGAGACAGACCGAGCAGCATTTCCTCCCCCTCCCTCAGCCCAGCACGGCGAGGCCCTTCGGAACCCCGCAATTCCCCAGCGCGCCCCAGGTCCCTGCCCGCCTCTGCGCTCTCTGCACCCCGTCGCGCCAGTCTCCTCGCAGCCTGCTCCTTTGCAGCTGGCAGCGTCCCGCCGCCCCGGGAAGCTGTGAAGCGCAGGTGGCAGCACAATGAGGGAAGCTGTCTGAGGTGCTCAGCCAACGTGCGACTCTCGCCCCGGGCGCCGGAACGGTGGTTCCGGGGAGGGGACCGCACCGTGCCGCTGCTGAGATGTGACGGCTGAGCCGAGGGCTTCAGACAACGCAGTCAGCACATGGCATCCCCCTGCCCTGCGTAGAGCCAGCCCCGACCCCCACCTGCACTCCCGCACTGAGAGTCGCTCGCAGGGCCCACTTCCTCTCCAGAGCCCCCCTCGCCGTGAGCAATGGGTCAAACTGCCCCCCCTCCCCGCAACACCAGAACCTCTGGAGCTGCCAAAGGGGCAGATGTAGGGATTGGGGGCAGAATTGCTGGGCTGGGGGAAGGGCAGCTGTGGGGCTGGGCATATAACGAATTAGGATGTGGGGCTGGGGAGACGCTGGGAGCTCTGCACCCCCAGGCGGCGATTGATAAAGGTCTGTGTGATTTGATCTGAGTTGGGCTTCCCAGCGAGAGCCCATATCCTGGCATTCGACACACCTGGGCGAGGGGGCAGTGCTGCGACCGCCCCACACCCCCTGGGGGGGCGGCAATCAGACGACAGACCCCAACACAATATCATTTTGCAATCTCATGATCTGCGAATTTCGGGGTTGGCCACGCTGCGTGGGTTCTGCCCGGTGACCCCTGACCTCAGTGGGGTGACCTGTGCGGGGCAGAGTGCCGGATTGGGACGGGGGAGCCACTGCCATTAATAATAAATAGCTCCAAAGTGAGAGTCGACGATAAGCCACTCTCCTGTGACACCCGAACAGCATCTAGAGCTGCCACCGAACCGCACGTGAACTCAGGTGGGGAGAACGCAACAGGAGCGGCCCACGGGACCTCACTAGCTCCCGCTGCACCGTTCCCCAGCTGAGGCCACGGTCCTGGGCATGGGCCGCTGCAGAGAGAGGACCCTGCTTCCAGGAAAAGGGAGGAGGTGAACGCCGGGCAAGTACAGGTCCTGCCTCGGAAAATTAAGCGGGGGGAGAATCCCAGGGGGCAGAACTCCCTCAACGCAGCGTCCCCTGCAGGCACATCCGCTGTGCCCCGGGCCAGCTCGCATCTTCCACAAAGCAAGTGGCCCATCCTGTGCGGGGAAGGTTTTTCCTCACCTGGCCATCTGAGAGCCCACCCCGGAGCCCCAGCGGGCAGATTGCCGGCTGCCTGGTCATTGGCTAGGAGTCTCCCAGATTGGCATCGATCTCCCGGTGACTATTGAAAGCCATCCAGAAGATTTTAATAGGCCGCTAAAAGTCCGGTCGGCGGTGCAGTGGGGCTAAGGCAGGCTCCCTACCTGCCCTGGCTCTGCGCGGCTCCCGGAAGCAACCGGCAAGTCTGGTAGGCGCAGGGGCAGCCAGGGGGGTCTCTGCGCACTGCCCCCGCCCTGAGCACCGACTCTACAGCTCCCATTGGCCGGGAACCGCAGCCAATGGGAGCTGCGGGGGAGGCGCCTGCAGGCAGGGGCAGGGCACAGAGCCACCTGGCCACCTCTGAGCCTAGGAGCCGGACATGCCGGTTGCTTCTGGGAGCCGCCCGAGGTAAGTGCCGCCCGGAGCCTGCACCCCTCCGCCCCCCCACCGTCCCAGCCCGGTGAAAGTGAGTGCGGGTGGGGGAGAGCAAGCGACGGAGGGAGGGGGGATGGAGTGAGCAGGGGCGGGGCCCGGAGAAGGGGCAGGCAGGAGTGGGGCAAGGGTGTTCAGGTTTGGGCGATTAGAAAGTTGGCCACCCTACGCAGGCGGCGGACAGAGCGAGCGCATCAGAGCCTGACTCGGAGGGCAGGGGGCAGCGCTCTCTGCCACTCGCCGGAAAAGGGAGTGATCGCTAAAATCGAGCTGCATGTGAGCCAGGACAAGCCGGCCAGGGCCGGGGCGAGCTGGGCTGTGACACTGGCCCGCCAGTCCCTTCCCTCGCACCGAGCGAGCCTGGCCGATGGGGGCTGCCTCGTGTTAAAGGCCCGTTCCCCCTTCCGGCTGGATTCAATCAGCTGCCAGGTGGGCTCCCACCTTCTTACCTTCCCTTCTGACATCGGCTCGATCTTCTTCAGCTGCTGCTCAGCGGGTGGCTGCCCGGCGTAGGGAGAGCTGGCCAGGCTCTGAGTCCGAGACGAACCTGTTGCAAAGCAGGCAAAGGGAACGGTCAGAGCAGCTGGGAACGCTGCACTGGCAGGCCCTGCAGAGGCCTCGCAGGATGTAAACATTAAAGACCCCACGGCACTTCTGTCTGGGGTGTCAGCCTGGGGGTCCTGGCTCCAGGACAGTACGGGAGCCCCAATTCCCCTGTAGGTCCAACTGGATGAGGAACACTCTCTCGCTTGTCCTAAATCGTTGTGCGGCGTGGCTGCCAAGCTCCTCCCCAGTGGTGGCTGCATTTCAGCAATGGGCGCCTTTCCTGTAGAACCCATTCATGTCTGTGGGGTGCTTGGGGATCCTCCCATGAATGGGGAGATCTGGAGTAAGAGCAGAGTGCGGCATTTCCGTTTCCTCCCACCCTCCTCTGAACTTCGTGAGGGATGTCTGCATGCACGCCGGGGCTGTCCCCCTTAGGGGTTCTCGGGCTCGCTTCCTGCCACCGGGGCGCTGGCATTCCTAGCCCCTTGGGCTGCCACGGGCTTTGTGGCTTTCCGTGAGGCAGCCATCAGGACTCAAGTGGAACAGAGGCAAGATGGCCATCAGCACGACGCGGTCTGGAGCACCCATGCCATATCCTAGGGCAGCGATGCTCAGACCTCAGGGGGCAGGAGCCAAATTAGCCACCAACATCCCCCAAAGAGCCTCAGTCGTGTGAATTCAGTGTTTCACTTCCTCCGGTGCTACAGATTCCCACAGCATAATGACTGCCCAAGCATTATTATTTTATCCACTACAATTGGGTAATAACACAGTAAAAGCCTCCTGATTGAATTATTAACCAATCGATGTTATTAACCAATCACACAGTGGTGTAACATCATGTGCCACTTGCCTCAGTCTGATTGTCACTGTCCTAGGCCATGTCAGGACGAGACATGAACCCGACAAGAGCCAGGGTGCCGGCCTGCCACGGGTGCAGTGCACCCGCCCTCCACCCTGGGGAGAGCCGCGTATCAGACCCTAGAACGGCCCCGGGGCCCTGGGTCTGACGCTGCTTTTTGGGCACTGGCCCTGGACCAGAGCGCAAAGGCCAGGACGTTCCAACCGGAAACCAGCCCTTCTCCAGCCCCGTTACCACGGCGGTGCCCTGGTGGGGGGCTCTGCTCAGCACCCCCAGCCTAGCTCTTTCCTCAGGTTTGGGGAGCTCCAGGTCCAGAGGAGGGAGCGGCTCTGACCCACAGGGATTATGGCATTCGGCTTAGGGCTGCTCTCCCCTCCGCCTGTGTGCCAGCAGCCAGCCGTGGGAGCTCCCGGGGCCCGGCTGAGAACTCCCACCGCTCGTTCTAGCAGTGCCGTGGGGCGGCAGCCAGGGCAGGGGAGGGAAGCCGAAGGGTTTAGTGACGGGCGCGAGCTGCCGGCTCAGACGAGTTCCCAGCCCCCGGGGAACCTGCAGCCCAAGTTAAGCACTTTGCAATCGGGCTGGTAAAATGGCTGGATGCTTCGAGCATGGAGGTGAGCAGCAACCCCCACCCCCGCCCCACCCCTCACACACACCCCCACACCACACACACACACACCAACCACCACCACCCCCAACTATACACACGCACACACCATACGCACTCCCCCAACCACACACATACCCCAACCCCCCTACCCACACCAATCGTATACACACGCACACACCATACACACATACCCCAACCACACACCCAACCACCCCCACCCCAACCCCCCC